TTTGATTTTAAGCCATTATCATCACCAGCGGACAAATCAGACTGAAAATGCTGCCTGCAGATAAAGTGAGCCTAATTCTAACCTCTCAGTCACCAACACTAATTTTTCCTTTAGAAGTGTTGAGCATAAATCGCCTTGTACTAACCAATGCAGAAAATAATTGCTGATACAGTGGCATCAGCAACCACACAAACCAAAACAACCAGCTCCGATTCCTGCGCAGAAAGGCAGTACTTTCTATAATGGTAGGTGTTGATATCCCATTGCAAGTAGCCATGCTCGAGCAGCTCCAGTTGATACTCTGAGGCCTCCAAAGAAACCGTTTGTTCCTGCTCAGAGCAGACGAACTTATCCGGAACATGGATAATGTTGTGAACTATTGCGCCTTTGAGGTTGGTGTATCGTTGCGAAGTGGCTGAGGTGCATTTGAGGACACTTCCGGAAAAATCCAGCACTTGCCCGGAGTCGCAACAGTCCTGGACACAATTGAGCACATTGCACAAGCAACCAAACACTCCACTGGAATTTGTGAAATAGTCGTTTGTTGTGTATGTGGCGTTATTAGAATCGATGTTCGTTCCGTTCGTTGTGCCATTCGTAATGTCGACGATTATCTCGCAGTTTTCCAGCGCGTGAGTGCAGCTCGATAAAAGCACAGAAACGGTCCAAAAACACCAAACAATCACGTTCATGTTGGGAGGTGATTTACAACACTAAACTTTGAGTTGGGCATGGCTGATTAACCCGATAAACGTGAAATTTGCTCAGCAAGAATAAGGATCTGATTCAGCTTGAACCGACCACAGATAAGATATGCCGGCTTAGTTGATAATAATTGAACAATTTTCAATGGTATGTCGCGTAATGTGCAAACAACCGTACGAATCTGTTCACAAACCATCAGCTGTATAAGTGGGAAATGCGAGATTTCAAGGAAATGGCTAAATATAGCTTAGGGCTAACCCAAAGCAAATAGTCGCATGGTTGTTTCATCTGAAGCGATAGCCAAAGATGGTCGACAGTGCAAATAACGAGCATTTTCAGGATTTGTTTATACAAATCCTGGTTGCACTTGAAAAACTGTGAATAATTTAGATAAGATTTAAAAAGCGTTACTCGAATGCAGGATTTTTGTTCAAATTTTACAAGAATGTAACAAGTTAATTTAACATTCATCGGGTATCCAAATCAATTGAAGAAAAGTAGAAAAAAATTGAAACCCCTTTGCATATTTATTAGTACCTACAGATTTTCTCATTTTCTGTGTTTGTCCGGCGATATTCTTGTCGGTTACCACTGGGTGGGATCGTCACAAAAGTGAGCGGCCACACAGTGGTTAGCATTGTTGGCACGGTGGCCAAGATTATAGAAAAGATCGACCATTATAGAAAATACTGTCTTTCCATGCGGGAATCGGAAGCAATTGTTTTCTGCACAGGTTAGTTTGAAGCGGTTTTATCCGGTTTATGTATTCTTCATACAGGAAAATTAGCGTTAATGGTTTTGGTTTCTCTTTTTTTTTCAGTCAGATTTTTCAGCTGAAAATGCAAATAACTATAAACCAAAATTTTGGATGTTGTTGAAAAACGATCAACTCAAAAGTTTTAGCAAAAAGTGCCTGAACTTTTGCTTTTCAAGCGCTCACAATCAAACAAGGCAAAATTTGAAAAAACTGAAATTTAAAAATGAAAAACTGCATTTTCTATTACTGCAAATGGAAAAAAATCGAAATATCCCGCAAATTTGAGCCATATTTTAGTAACGATTGAATCTGTTTGGAATCCAACCACCTTCCAAAAGAAAAAGTAATACGAATTTTGAAACTGACGAAAAATAAGCAAAATTGCATCTCAGTAGCAAACGGTTTTCGGCCAATGGTTCAAGAACGTTTTTAAAGGTCTTCAGCAAAACATGCATGCTCAGGCCTTGAACTACGCGATTTTTTGCATGTGAATCTTACAATCTCGATGTTTTTCTTTAAAATATTCGTTTTTCGTTTCCTCTGTGGAGTCACGGTCAAACCGGTTTTGTATAAACAAAAATTTTGTATGAGAGTGCTGGCACCTGTGAAGAATTCTGAATAAAATCGATTATACGAAGAGTAGATGGTCAATTTTTGGAAGGAAATCTTCAAAAAATTTGAAGATGTTGGCGCACAAAACATTCACCTACTAAGTGGGCAAAAAATGTTTGAAAACTCATCAAATCATCAAATAAATATTGAAAAAATCAAGCATTTAAAGAAATGAAAAACAGCTAAAATTTGAGCA